ATCTAGTGCTAACACAATGGCTGTGCTTTGCGAGTTGTCTTTGAGGTAAGTTATCAAAAGGTTCCTTGGAAGTGGTTTTTGAGTTGTCTTCTCTCAGTTGGCTGAACTAAACATGATTGTGTTTGCAGGATGTTGTGGATTTCATGCCTGTTGATCAGCAGTGTAACTTGTCTGCCTGCACCAAAAGGTAATGTTGGCTGTCCAAAGAATGCACAGTTCTGTCACCATTAATGTCGGCTAACTTCACTTTCAAAAACCAAATTGATGGCTAGTGCTACGCCCCAACAGATGTCTCTGTCAAGCAAGCGCCCGCTGGGAGTGACGCTGCTGGTGTTGGTTCTTGGTATGACAACAGTGGGTTTGCTAACCCAGGTGTAGGCTCGGTTGACGCTGGATTCTACTACGCCAACTCCGGGTCCACAGGCGGCGCAAATGCAGAGTTTCCCAGTGACGGGGGTGAGGAGGAAAGATCTAAGCCCGTGTTCAGTGACGTGTCACACCTGGAGCCAGTTTACTCTTTCAGGTCCCGCTCGCGCTACAACAATGGAAGACGGCAGTACTTCCGAACAAGCTACATTCCCGGACATATCCGGTTTCCACCGATGCCTGTTGCCGAGAACAGCCCTCAACGACTCGTCAAAGCTTGATCCAAAGGTGACCAATGAGCATCTTGAAAGGTAGTAATACTTCTACTGTCTTTGCTTGAGAATTTAAGTTGAGCCAATTTTGACCTTCCTGCTTCTGTCTCCCCAGATCTTTAGATTTAGCCCGACTGGATCCCTCTTGAAAGAGAAATAAAGTTGTGCTTCTCTAACCTTCAGTTTGGTCTTCTCTTGTTGTAGCTAATGGGTGATTTGTACAAATCGTGAGGACTAGGTTCACAACTTCAGCTTTGTCTATATTGAAAGAGTGCAGATGTTGTAGCAGCTCCCACGCTCGGGTGGAAAGTGTCGCTCTATCAGCACTTTTGTGTTTGCTCTGTTAGCACGGGGAGCCAGGAGCTACAGACTGTCTTTGCTGTGTTTGAGTGGTAAAGATGCTCCTGCCTGCTAACTCTTCCAGGATGGCATATTTCTTCAGCCAAGTGATAAATGTATTGGCCTCATTTGGGGGGGAAATCAAATGGCAGATTTAAGAGTCATTGTTTCATCACAGTGCTGTGACACCTCTGACATTGAAGGTTTAAATACGCATTTACAAACTGCTTCATCAAATTTTTAACTAACAAGGTTTCTTGTCGCACAACAAAAGTCCCTTATGCGACGCAAAAGCTCTTTGCCATGTACAATTATGCTCTGAAATAAGACTGGTATGACTCATCTGCAATATGATCTTTGGATGCTTAGGCCAGAGATGATCGGTTAACATCAAAAGGTTCTTGGTAGGGTATTGGCAAGCATGCATGCTGGTCAAACATCCACCCAGACATAACTATATACTGTGACACTATCTCACTAATGAGGCCTCTGCTCCTGGGAAGCGTCGGTTCACATGGCTGCTGTAAGTCCTGATCAGTGAAAGGATGAGAAGTCCATTTGTCACCTAAGATCCGGACTTCAGCAGCACCTTGTTTTGTGGTCACAAGTTGTTTCCTGTGAAGACAAACGGATCTTATAATACTATGCATGTACAGTAACTAAAGGTGTTAAACATGACGGTCGCATGATTTCTACTTGACTAAAACAACTCATCTGTAGGTCTGCTTTGTTATACTAATCAAATGCTAACTTAAGCCTTTTGTGTTGGACCACTTGACTGAAATGTGGACCCAAACAAAACCCAGCTGTGGTTCCAGTGGGAGGAAGAGTTCCCCCAGAGTCAGTTGGAAGGGAGCGCAAATCATATTCCCCGAATTTAACTTTCGCTTGGCAGATTTTAATGTTCAAAAGCGTCTCATTTCTATATATACAGTATAGCAAAAAAAATCACATTTGACTCCTGAGCTACAGAATCTGGGTTCCGATTAGGGTAAACTTCCCAAAAATAACTTATCGGAAGAAACGGTACAAATGAATCTAGTGAAATTACAACTTGGAACAGGATAAATCTGGGAAGACATCAAGCAACTTCCAGGTGCCGCCAAACCGGACCAGAGCCATAAGACCTTGTGTCCACCTTAGAGTCCTGGGGACACCAGGATAACACACTTTTTCCACAGATGCACTCCATCACTTGTGTAAGATTGTTTGAAAGTGAAGTTTCAGGTGGGGAAGGAGACACTGTCAAGCTGTTTAATAAAAAAAAAAAAATCTTATCTTCGGTGAATTTTTTTTTTTTTTTTTTTTGATCAGAGGATTCAAAATAAACTGCAGGAGGAAAATTACAAGAAGATTGCATTACGTGGGACAAATGATGCATTGGATGATGTTTATGAGCTTCATTCTGCAAGATCCTCTTACAGCAAAAGGAACCTTATATGGTTTAGAGCTATAACAGCCACATAGTGCCCCCTCCTGGCCGCTGTGGTTAGTGATCCGTACATCTTCTCATTGTTGGGACCAAAGGCAAGGGGCAGACACATTACTGTCGACACTTAATGTAACTGAACACAGACACTTGAGTAATCACAATTGTAAAATACTGCTCCAAAGACTGCTGGTGAGGTCCATTTCTCAGGTCCAAAAGAGATGCGACAATCTGCATGTTATGTGAGAATGGATTGCCAACCAGATAAAGCAGGCAACTGCCCCAATTTGAATATCATAACACTTGCTTTTGGAAAGGATGCACCATCAAAGCACAGCTGCAGGAATGAGTCCTAAACCCTAATAGTTCGCATTTTAAGCTTCTGTTTCTCTCGTCTCGAAGTCGATGGTTTATTTGAATGTTAAATGTAATGAGGTCCGTGGTCTTAACAACAGGTTTTAACGTTTGGATCTACGATACAAAATATATCAGTAAATAACTCACTTGTGATTTTTTAAGATTTCACATAAAAGAGGCAACAAGTGGCTAAATGAGACTTCAAACCTTCATCATGCCGACTCGTCCACCTTCACAGCCTCGTTGTGTGTCCTCGCACACATGCGTCTGTAGTGTAGTTCATTTATTGCATAAAATGGAAGATTGTCTATCAATAGGAGATATTCATCTTACTGTTTTTCAAAAACATAGAATCCTTAAACCAACTCTATGTTTTCCAAACTATATCTTATCACAAAGTATTTGAACAATAAAGTCGTGATATTAGAGCAAGTTGTGTTCAAAGGAGATGGGACTATTTCCTCGTCAGTCAACAGCAATATTCTTGGAAAACTAGAATGTCTGAGCTTTCTAATCCACCTCGGCGGGAAACACAGCGTCCACTGTTTCACCTTCACACTGACATACATTTGTGTTTTTGTCAAAGTATTTCACCAACGCCTCTGTTGTTTTCATTAAAAACAGCAACTTTAGTGACTCATATGTCTGCAGCAATCATGAAGCACCAGAGCGCCACAGCGTTAGGCCGGGAGAGGAGACAGGCTGCCATCCCTGCTGAAACTGCACTTCCAGGTCCAAGCGGGCTCTGGCTCTCAGTACCTCGATACAGCCACCAGATGGCGACAGACAGCAGGGGCCCTGATTCAGATGGGTCTCATGTATTGTATTGTATTGTAAACAGTTAACATGGCCAAAACATGGAGACCGCCTGAGTATATCTTTAAACATTATATCATACATGTTGTATTTTAGTGTATTTTCATCAAATTTACAGTTACAGTTTTATCAAAGAGTAGTAGAAGATATCTATTTGCATCATTATTCATGGGTTGGTTATAATGGTGATATTGTCTTTAATAATTCTAGGCTAGGATAGAAATCTTATTTTTTCTTTATTGCTTCTCTGTTTACTGGGGAATAGTAATAGAAATAGATTTACTTCCATTGGATTTATTTGTCCTCAGCTTCTTGCTTTTCAAAGGAGACCAGAAATATGCACATAAGCCTCATGGTTGAATCATTTTGGGTGAGTTTGTTTCAGTGTTTTTTCCCGAGGGATAGAGCTTGGACTTAACAAGTTAAGGCACATGCTGCAGTTCATCTTGAAGAGGGGCCCTGTGTGTTTTGTTGGATGTCAGTTGGTATCATGCTGTTTACCTGGTGCATATTCCTTAACAGCTTCATGTTTAATCAAGTCATCACAAACTCACTGACAACCAGCAAACCTGGGGCAGAGGAATAGGCTAATGTCTTATTTCTGTACCTTAGTCTGTTATGTACACTGTGCTTCATGGGTAGTAGAGACAAGGAGTGGGAGCAGGGTGTCAAAACATCTCAATTCTGTCCCGGGGCATCCCGAGACAGAGACACACCCGAGACAGCATGGCTCCTATAGATAGATAGTTACTTTTTTACAGTTACTTTATTTATTATTCACTACAGCAGCCTCTACGGTACAGGTGAAGCAATACAAATAACAGAGTAAAAAATATAAGATAAAGAAATGCACAATATGTACAATGAAATAGAATAATATTAAAATGAACTAACTAAACAATAGTGCAAAGATTTAACAAAACAAGCCAACAGCAGTGTAACACTGTTATAGTTGTGTGATTGATGTGACCAGAGGTGATTTATTATAAAGTGTTATAGCAGCAATGTTCTCCTGTATCTGTCCTGTGACAGCGGAGCTGGATCAGTCTGTCCCTGCAGGAGGTGGTGGAGAGGGTGGTCCGGGTTATCCAATATGGATAATAATAATTATAATTATACCATTCAACCAGCTCCACTACTGTGACAAAGAAGAACAGCTGTTACAGACAGCATGCAACATATTTTACAGTATAATAATATCATGTCATGTAAAACATTTTAATAAATGACTACACTAAACAAATGTCAAACAGAATCAAGCATATGATATAGGTCATATGTATGTTATTTTATTCTATATACATAAATATTACATAGCAAGACAACCACGCATTTAAATAGTTCAACCAGTTCTCTCCGGGCTTCCGTAGTATTGTTTGCTTTTTTTACCCGGAAAAACTTTTTGATCCGTGTTACGTCATGCCACAAAGATGGCGGAGTCGGAGGAGGAGGTGGACGTCTTGGTCCAGAGAGTTGTCAAAGACATCACCAACGCCTTCAAGAGAAACCCCAACATGTAAGTATAGTTGACTGTGAACATACCGGACAGGCTGGAGCGGAGTCTGTCTAATCCAGTGGACCCTAAACCCAACAGCAGCTTGAACGAGCCTTTCAACTATGCGGGCTCGGACTATCACCTGGAGTTAGAGCGGTCCAGGGAAAGTTGACAGTTTAGCTAGCTGGCCCTGCTGTGTGTTTGTTTATTCTGTAAAGGCTTGAGGAAGTGGTTTGTAGACCCCCCCCCCCCCCCCGCGGATACTATCTCCGCGTTAAATAAGGAAATTCAGGAAACGTTGTTTTATTTGGTGTGACTAGTTAACGTTAGCTCGCCCTTTGACGTAAGGCGGCTGTCAAAACTGTGCCACATTTGGCACGGGCCAGTACCGTTAGCGCCTTAATGCATTCATTCATTTATCCGTCAAATTAAAAGGTGTCTTCTTTGTAATGTCGACAGTACTCCCCCCTTCTTATATGGCTGCTTCAGTCCCTTTAGGAGGGGTACACCGGCGTCAGGGTTAGCACATGCTAACTGTATGCTTTCACAAGCTACCGTCACTAGCTTCTCATCTATTTATAATGCCAATGAAGCAGTGCTGTAACCCTCATCCTACCAACACGTCCGAGGACTACAGGGACCCCAAGAATAAACTACTGTAAGACCTAACTATCAAAACATTACTGGTAATGTAACTAAAGTCACCAGAAGAACATCGCTCTATTCCATTGTACTCGGAGGCTCAGTGGTAGAGCAGTCCTTTAATCAGAGGATCGGCGGTTCGATCCCCTGCTCCGCTAGTCCACGTCGATGTGTCCTTGGGCAAGACACTTGACCACAAATTGTGCTGACCTTGCGTGGGTGAATGGGTGAATGATGACATGTAGTGTTGGAGCGCTTTGAGTGGTCGGAAGACTAGAAACGTGCTATACATGTGCAAGTCCATTTACCATTTACTCCATGTGTTAAAACTGCAATACCCCAATACAGTGGTATTTAAAATTCACTATTTAAAAGCACTAAGTAGAACAGAAAACCATAATATGAGATACAATAAGAACAAATTTCCATGAATAATTGGAACGATAGAACACAGCACTAGTGAGATATGGCACAAAGTATACCTCTGTCAAATGAATGGATACGCTGTGGAGACCAGGGCTCAGGACTTGAGTGGCTCAAGACAGTGTGTGATTTTGGGCTGTCCTGCATAACAACCGTGAGAGAACGGACATGTCACAAACCATGTGACATTTAGGACCAAATTGTAACTTGCTACGACCCACGTCCACCAACCAACGCTGAGAAAACGCTGGCCGATACAACTTTGTAAGTTTCCACAGGCCATAGAAGCAGATATTACTTTGACTTGTCCTGTGTGTGTGTGTGCATATACAGGTGCTGGTCATATAATTAGAATATCATCAAAAAGTTGATTTATTTCACTAATTCCATTCAAAAAGGGAAACATGTCTATTATATTCATTCATTACACACAGACTGATATATTTCAAATGTTTATTTCTTTTAATTTTGATGATTATAACTGACAACTAAGGAAAATCCCAAATTCAGTATCTCAGAAAATTAGAATATTACTTAAGACCAATACAAAGAAAGGATTTTTAGAAATCTTGGCCAACTGAAAAGTATGAACATGAAAAGTATGAGCATGTACAGCACTCAATACTTAGTTGGGGCTCCTTTTGCCTGAATTACTGCAGCAATGCGGCGTGGCATGGAGTCGATCAGTCTGTGGCACTGCTCAGGTGTTATGAGAGCCCAGGTTGCTCCGATAGTGGCCTTCAGCTCTTCTGCATTGTTGGGTCTGGCATTTTGCATCATCCTCTTCACAATACCCCATAGATTTTCTATGGGGTTAAGGTCAGGCGAGTTTGCTGACCAATTAAGAACAGGGATACCATGGTCCTTAAACCAGGTACTGGTTGCTTTGGCACTGTGTGCAGGTGCCAAGTCCTGTTGGAAAATGAAATCTGCATCTCCATAAAGTTGGTCAGCAGCAGGAAGCATGAAGTGCTCTAAAACTTCCTGGTATACGGTTGACCTTGGACCTCAGAAAACACAGTGGACCACTCCAGCAGATGACATGGCACCCCAAACCATCACTGACTGTGGAAACTTTACACTGGACCTCAAGCAACGTGGATTGTGTGTCTCTCCTCTCTTCCTCCAGACTCTGGGACCCTGATTTCCAAAGGAAATGCAAAATTTACTTTCATCAGAGAACATAACTTTGGACCACTCGGCAGCAGTCCAGTCCTTTTTGTCTTTAGCCCAGGCGAGACGCTTCTGACGCTGTCTGTTGTTCAAGAGTGGCTTGACACAAGGAATGCGACAGCTAAAACCCATGTCTTGCATACGTCTGTGCGTAGTGGTTCTTGAAGCACTGACTCCAGCTGCAGTCCACTCTTTCTGAATCTCCCCCACATTTTTGAATGGGTTTTGTTTCACAATCCTCTCCAGGGTGCGGTTATCCCTATTGCTTGTACACTTTTTTCTACCACATCTTTTCCTTCCCTTCGCCTCTCTATTAATGTGCTTGGACACAGAGCTCTGTGAACAGCCAGCCTCTTGCAATGACCTTTTGTGTCTTGCCCTCCTTGTGCAAGGTGTCAATGGTTGTCTTTTGGACAACTGTCAAGTCAGCAGTCTTCCCCATGATTGTGTAGCCTACAGAACTAGACTGAGACCATTTAAAGGCCTTTGCAGGCGTTTTGAGTTCATTAGCTGGTTAGAGTGTGGCACCAGGTGTCTTCAATATTGAACCTTTTCACAATATTCTAATTTTCTGAGATACTGAATTTGGGATTTTCCTTAGTTGTCAGTTATAATCATCAAAATTAAAAGAAATAAACATTTGAAATATATCAGTCTGTGTGTAATGAATGAATATAATAAACAAGTTTCACTTTTTGAATGGAATTAGTGAAATAAATCAACTTTTTGATGATATTCTAATTATATGACCAGCACCTGTGTGTGTATATATAGCAACGATAACACCATAGTTGTAGTTGACGGTTCTTTCCTTACATCTACTTATTTATGGATTTACAGCCAAGACTCTTCAAGCATTAATCACACTCTGATATACCTCAAAATGAATACTATACAGTCTGAGGAAAATTCATTTCTGACTCCTCTCGCACAACTACAAGTCCTAAAGAAAAGAAGCATTCTTAACAACAATTCAAATAAAGTAAAGATTCAACCTGGACTATAGAGCCAGGTGAAATGAACAGAAAATGTCAGGATATTCCTGAGAATGTGCCGCAATTCTTCCTTGTCGATACCCGTCAAGTAAAAAAAACCTCCCTCAGTCCTCATTCTCGGCATCTGCTCCCTCAGTGATGAAATTGGTGTGATCCCGTGTCCGGAGGCCCGCTGCAACCGCAGTCCCATCGTGCTGGTGGAGAACAAGCTGGGCGTCGAGAGCTGGTGCGTCAAGTTCCTGCTGCCATATGTCCACAACAAGCTGCTGCTGTACCGCCAGCGCAAGCATTGGATGGACAGGGAAGGTAACTGAACTCCTACACCACATCTATCACAACATCCATCACAACCACAACATCTATCACATCTGTCACATCTATCACAACCACAACATCTGTCACAACATCCATCACAACCACAACATCTATTACATCTGTCACAACATCTATCACAACCACATCTATCACATCTATCACAACATCCATCACAACCACAACATCTATCACATCTGTCACATCTATCACAACCACAACATCTGTCACATCTGTCACAACATCCATCACAACCACATCTATCACATCTATCACATCTGTCACATCTATCACAACCACAACATCTGTCACATCTGTCACAACATCCATCACAACCACAACATCTGTCACATCTGTCACAACATCCATCACAACCACAACATCTATCACATCTAGCACAACATCCATCACAACCACAACATCTATCACATCTGTCACAACATCTATCACAACCACAACATCTGTCACATCTGTCACAACATCCATCACAACCACAACATCTATTACATCTGTCACATCTATCACAACCACAACATCTGTCACATCTGTCACAACATCCATCACAACCACATCTATCACATCTATCACATCTGTCACATCTATCACAACCACAACATCTATCACATCCACAACATCTATCACATCCACATCTATCACATCCACATCTATCACATCCACATCTATCACATCTGTCACAACATCTATCACATCTGTCACAACATC